CATCTTCAACCCCAACTCTCTCAACTTTTTTTCATAGGAGAGGTGTTTCAGCCCTCTGAACACTTTTTGTAGCCCACTTATGGATCTGCTTGAACAGGTCAATGTCTGTCTTGTACTGGGGACACCAGACATGGATGCTGTACTCCAGGTAGGGTCTCAGAAGAGTGGAGTAGAGGGGGAGAATCACCTCCATCAACCTGATGGCCATGCTTCTTTTTATGCAGCCCAGGATAAAATTGGTGTTGTGATCTGCAAGTGCATGTTGCTGGCTCATACCTAATTTTTCATCCGCCAGTATCCCCAAGTCTTGTGCAGGGCTGCTCTCAATTCACTCACCACCCAACCTGTATTTGTGCTTGAGTTTGCCCTAACCCATGTGCAGGACCTTCTACTTGGCCTTTTTAAACTACATGAAGTCCACATGGGTCCATTCATGCTAAGTATGATACATTATTTACATCAAAATTATTGATTCCTGTATAACAAGATTATGGAAAACATTATTTATGAAAAAAGTAGGTCTTTGGTGGCCACAGATCAGTGCCCATGTTTTTATTTGCCTCAACAGCTTCCTGCATGCAATGATTCAAGTTGGTATTTTGCCTCCTGGTTGTTTATATTTTCACTCTTGCAGAAAGGATATTCATAAGATCTGCAGCTAAATTTGCCAGGGAAAGTTGGCTTGACTATCCATGTCCACTTTTCTTGTCTCAAAGTTAACTATTCCTGTAATTTTTCTGGTATTTCACTATTTCAACAAGATGCACAAGTCTGTAGGAGACAGTCTCCTAAACATAAAGAATGAAAGATTTTTCAGTTGCAACGTCAAGCTGCATGGCAAAACAACTAGTGCATTTGCACAACCCATTGTGGCAGGCAAGGTGCTTATTAACAAAAGGATATGGAATATTTTTTACACATCTTTCAATTTATTGTCAATTGAATGATTTGGACATCAAGTTGAGAAAACTTCACCAGGCTGTTTGAAGGAGTGAACTCATAAGGTCAGTGCAGTCCCAATGCATCCTCCTTTTTCATAACAATTTGGCCTTCCCTCACATTTCCTTTATGGGAAAAGGGATATGCTGAAAAAATAAAAGATACTCTCTTCTCCCCAGAGCCGGACAAACAGATACTGTATTGAGGATGAGAAGGGGTCATAACACTGTACCATATTTGGGGAAGAGGTAAGAGCAACAGGGTGGGGAAAGAGAGATGCAAGATGGTGTTACTGTGTGTGTAGCATGACCTCATCATGCCTGTTGGCACCTGGGGAAGGAGAGGGCTGATGGCACCTGCCTAAGATCTCGTTGGAGGAGAAGACCCACAGCATACCTTTCTCACAGGTACAGTGCAGAAACCAGAATCTGTCCCAGAAAAGTGGTTATCAAAGGGTGTGAAAATAAAGGACAGTGAAGACTGTCCAAGATTACATCAACTTTCAAACCTCTGTAGTGAATAGTTGCATCAATAATTCACATCCACAAAAATAACCCACCTCTGTCTCATAGTTGCTTGCTTATGTGGAGACTTGATTCTTAAGAAAAGCATTTCAAACTTTGATGAGAGTGGCAGGAGTTGATGAGGTCCACCTCTGCAAATCTCTTTCATGTTCTTTCGTAATTACAGATAAAGGCAACTTTGGCATAGGGTTGCTATTCTTTCTGGCATGGATTATTGCAAGATTTCTAACTCTAGCTGAGCAAAAATACACATCTACTTTAGACCTTTGCGGGGGAGACTTGAACTAAGTCCCTCTACAAACTGGAGCCTGGAGAAATAAATACGAGGGATGTGAGTTGTTTACATTAAGTGAAGTGAATATTTTAATATATTAAAAGTTGTTAACCTCTTTCAGAAACTTTTCTGGAAACAAGTGACTAGGTTTGAAGAGTGAAACATGATTCCCAGTAGCTTGCTTTTCTTTCATACTCACATGATAATCATTGCCTGTCAAGCCAAACCCCCAGCTACCTTTTTCCTATGAAAAATCCCCTGTGGTGTATAGATAACAGAGAAGACCAGAAGTATGTCTTACTGCTCCCACTCTGTGTAGTGTCCAAAATGAACTTGCCATTTTGGGTGACTTCTACCTTTGCCAAGTGGCTGTGTGTACTCCTTGTTGATGTGAGTTCTCATTTATACTCTACAGAGGTCAGAGGATGTGTGGTGACTACATAATCTCATAACATCGTCTCACTAATACGCTGTGGTCCTTCCTTGCATATTAAATGCTCTGTTCTGTGTCATTCTGCAAAGCATCCATGCTGAGATATGGGACCTGTACCATTAATTCAAACCCTGACTAGAGGAGAAAACCTAGTCTGGCCTGGTGTCATGCAAGATGCTGTGTATTTTACTTCAGAACTAAGCTCACTAGATGGTTTCAGCTTCCCTATTTTAAGCATAGTCAGGATCGGAAACAGAGTTTACTTTTAAAAATCAAAGTCTATGCCCTCAAAAAGCTATTTAAATTTTATTTACAGAGTCTTTTTAGCCATCTATTTTTTTCTACAAATTCTATGACTTCGAGTCCAAAAGTAGATACTTGAACTTAAGAGAATCTGGAATAGTGTCCTGAAGCACCATAGATCTGAAACACAAACTACTCTGCAAATCTATTGTGAAAATATATCAGCTCAGGCTGAAAGCAGTTTGCCTGCTTTTGGTTGATGGGCGATAACTGGGAAACTAATGATCTTAAACAACAAAACCCTGAAGTTTGGCCTTGGAGAGGGTACAAGGGGGAGTTTTGCAAGAGTGGTTCCTAGTGCTCATGAATTATCACAGCACTATCTGTATCCAGAATTACACATTTTTTCTGAACAACCCTAGCCATTAGCCAAAGGAGGGAAATTGGAAAAAAATCTGAATTGTTCTGTGGCATATGTCTAATCAAAATACCTATTCTTCTCCCTAATGCAATTAATAAGTGAAAAATAAGTGGGTTTTAATTTCAGAACAAATAATATGAAGAAACTGTGAACAGAAGAAGAAACTGTGAGTCAGCTGATAGAAGTTTAAATTTTCCTGGCAGTTCAATATTTCTGAGGTTAATAAATTTTGGTAATTGACATTGTGGTAACAGCAGGTCTGTGTGAAGCAAAGAAATATGTGATGGGTTGTATGGTATTTCTGAGAGACAGATGGGGCATGTATCAAGCTTGCAGAACAAGCTATTCATTGTAGTGTAGAAGGCCTGCACTAGGACAGCCTGCATGCTGCATAATATACTTTTTCTTTGCTACCAATTGGTATAAATCAAGAGTACCTCTATTGAATATAGTGGAGTGTAAACAGGTTTGGCCTGTACCACAGTATCTCTTATCAGCTTGTCTGTATTGTTCAGGAATGACTGGGATAGTGGGGGATTTACTTGGGTTTCTTTTAATTTTTTTAGTTCATAGCCTATTGTGAATATAATTTTTATTATTGTACTGCTAAAATAGGGGGTTTTTTAATGCTAGGTATTCTGTGTACACTTTTCACTTCTGTGCATGCTTGCAATGAAAAAATTTACTCAAGTTAATTATATAACATTACAAAAGCATTGAATCAGTCGTATTTCTAGTATGCTTTCAATAGTGTTCTTTATAAGCCAAGTGCTACACAACAGAATATGTTATCTTTCTGCTTACACTTCTTCTGCAGAAGTGATCAGGTTTATTTAGTTGTTTATCTTCTCTTGTGATCATTTACACCACTGTGATACATTTGCAAAACTGTATTATGTTTGCAGAACTGTGTTTTGCCCTGGTTTTGTATTCACATAGATGAAAATGACTACTGGAGGAATTTCACAACAAAGTCTTGTGAATAAAGGTTGGAGGAAGTATGACTTCAACGATTTAAAGGAAACCAGTTTATTTTAGAGTTAACTTACTATGGAAAAAGTTTACCTGTTTTTTAAAAAAATGAAGGAAAAAAAGAACAACACAAATGCATGCAGATGCTGTCCTTTGTCTTGGATAGATCAAAATGGTTTGGATTTAAAAATTCAGTCTTGGCAGGCATTTAGTCCTCAAGGAATGTGTGCTTGTTAAATCCTGGCCAAAAAAAAAAAAAAAAAGGGGGGGGGGGGGGTGGGCGAAGTTTTGAAATTAAAAAATTAAAAATGTAAGGAATTCTATTATTTTGAAGGATAAACCTTAAAAGCCAAACCCTGCATTCTGATTTGTAGTGAGGACCTCCACAGAGTATGCTGTCTGAACTCATAAAACACATGAAACTTCACCTAAGGTCAAATACTTGGAATACATGCTGCTGAGTGCTAAAAAGATATCTGGGTGTTGACCTTTCTTCTGGGAGCTCTGCCAGCATCAGGGCTGGTATGAGTCTGCTGTGAGGGAAGAGGAGGAGAGCCATGGAGAGCACATGTTGGGGCCTGTGGTCTCCTTGACCTCTGGTGGGCCCAGCTGCTCTTTGGATGCTGCTCTGCAGCAGGGATCTGGGAGTAGTGAGGGACTGGTGGATAGGGGGGAAGCTTTATGCTCTCCTTCTCCCCTCATATTAAATTGGGAAATTTTCAGCCTGTCATTTCATGCCACTGCAGGCAGGATTACTTCCTCCCAGTGCACAGGTGGCTCACCAACAGGCAAAGCTCAGTGGGTCAGACTGTGCCAGTGCTGAGGTGTGGGCACAGAGGTGTGCCCTCGCAAAACTAGTGTGGGTAGCTGGGAGACACAGGGCATTATTATTGTGACTCAGATGTTGATTTCCAGCTGAGTTATGTACTCTGACTTCCAACCTAATTTATAAACTGATGCCACCTTCTAGAAACTCATTTTTAAAGCATAGGTAGGAAACTGAGGAGTTGTAGAATTCAAACCTCAGTACCCTTATAGGGACAGAGAGACCTTTACTTTGGGAAAGAGTGATGATGGGGGATTAGGTGATTAGAGATCTTTGTAGAAAAGATACTGACACAGTAAACATTACACGTTTGCTTTTTATATTCAGCTATTAACGCTTTTGGGTTTGTTTTTAATTTTTGGACACAGGATCTGTGAAGGGCAAAACATCCGGTACAGGACGTGCAGCAATGTGGTAAGTGAAGTACAACTTTGTTATGATACAAATCGTCATGTATGACAGTCATGTCCATATTACATAAAATAATTTGGTAATGTGATAAGGAGAATACTGTAGCTACCTAAACTGCCTTCATACCACAAGGACCGTGGTCAAACCTTTGTCAGTTTCATGAAAAACTGGAGAGATTATGGCACAGCATGATACTAAAACTGTTTGGAAGGGATTGCAGTCACAGTCTTTCCAAATAGAGTGTTGCTGAAGCTTCAGAGTTGCTCTTTACAACACCCCTGGCAGAGTCAAGACCACTCATCTTCCCAGTATTACTTTGGTAACCAGCTTGTTCACACTGGGCAATCTGTCAGGCTGGAGGATTAAGCTGTTAAATTAGTGAGAGATAGATGTTTTCGTTCACCTGTGCCCTCTCAGCATTGGAATTCTGTTGCATGTCTTAGAAAAGCAGTTTTAGATAGCCTGCACCAGTGTTTTGGTCTTTCCAAAGGCTCTTGCTCGTTTTTTAAATATGGTGAAGATAGTTTTCAGTACAATAAAATAAGAAATCTCAACTTCTGTGCTCACCAAAGTGAAAGCGTGTTTTCAGTGGTGAAAATGGAAATAAAGACTTTCATACGGAAAGTTTTATTGGATGCCAAGAATACTAAAAGCTCTCAAATTACATGAAGAAATGTCAGTTTTACTAATAAAGATGGAAGATGAAATCAAACATGCACTGGGCCAAGCTTTCTTATGCCTGATAGGGACATATTCAGAAGCCTTTCAAAAGGTGCTGTGTCTAAAGAAGTTTAAAAGTTTAAGTTAAAAAAATGAACATGTTCCCTCATATTTAGCTTATATTTTCTTCAATAGACCACAGTTCATAATGAGAGAAACTGCTTCTATCTGAGTTGTAGTCTCCCATGCAGTAAGATTCCTCACAATTCTTCCTCTGAAATTTGTTCTGGGTGCATCCTTTGAGTTCCTGAAATCTTTTATCAATCTAGGCATCTGTTTTGCTGACAGCTCTGACATTAAATAGGTCTGCTGACTAATGAACAGTCCAATTTCCATCTCTGAGGCACTTAGGCTACACTACTATCCTGGAGGGAATGGAAAGGTTGATTTATGCCAACCAAGTTGCATGTTGTAGCTATGTGGAATACACCAAAAAAAGAAAAAAAAAAAAAAAAAAAAAAGAGGAGAAAAAAAAAGAGATACTGGTAAAGTCTAACTGAACTACAATTAGACTCATCAGTTTTGTTTTGGTTTGTGAATGCATGCACATTGTGACAGTCCCCTTCCTGGTGGAAGGTGTCCCTGCCCATGCAGGGAGCTTGGAACTAGATGATCTGTAAGGTCCCTTCCAATGCAAACCATTCTGTGATGCTATGATTCTGACCTGTCCTTGTGTATGCTAAGAGCTGTGAGACAAACTGGCATCCTGCTCTGCTGCCGTTAGAAGTTCCTAGTTCGCCTTGATGAGAGGCTGGTGTTTTACCTGTCTTGTAACCCTTATTTTGGAATCAATGAGCTTAACTTTTCAAGATAAGGAATAATTTTTTAAATGTTATTTTTAGCTTAGGTTCTGTTTTGGAAATGTGCACCTGAACAGTTTTGCTTCAAAATAAAATCTTGCATAGTTTTGTCAGGCAATTCCTAAACATACCTTGTATTTGGCAATACGGCTCCAGACTTTCAAACATACCAGTGAGGCATGCAGCTGCAGAAGTCAATTATTTCATACCAAATAATCCAAACTGAAACTTTCAAAGTGCTTTACTATGCTGAAATCAGTGACAGTTTTGCCACTGAATTATGAAGACCTAAGACTGCATTTACGATTTTAAACCCTTTTCTCTCCAGAGAAGGTAAAGAATGGATTGTGCTATATTGCCCTTTTCCTTAGTAAAGGGATTAAATGAGATTTCATTTGTTAACTTTTGGTAAACTTGAAAAACAAGTATAAATCAAACTATTCTCAAACTTCTGACCACATCATACTTTGACCAGGACATCCAAATATGGCTTTATGTTGTAAGGAAAGTACTTGACTATATTCATTTTGCAGACATTTGATTTCAGGGGAAAGTATCTTCTGATTTTAAAGCATGTTGAGTCTTTGATTAAGATGTTACGCACTTCCACTGATCTTTACTAATCTGAGATACTGTGTACCAGTATTCATATCAGTCATCTCAAGGGCACTGCCATCATGATCAGCATCAGAACTTGTGGTAGGATCCTGCCATAGCTGTGGTGGTCCTCAGCCCAATGTTTCTGGGGCTAAGTACTACTTTGAAATACTTCGTGCAACACCAGTGGAAATATAAAGCAATTTGAGAACCCTGGACATGCATCTAGGCACTGAAATCCATTCTGTTACTGAATTGCGTAGCTGTACCACTGAAATGCTGTTTGTCTCTTTCATAATAATAATAAAAAGTCATATACTTTCTCTTTAATGAAGTCTACTGTCTTTGTCTCCAAAATCCAAAAGGTTCATACACACAAATTTTGTCTTGGAAACAATTTATTAAACCCATGGCTTGTCGTGGAATTCTGCACTGGAAAAGGCACACAATACTGTGTGTATTTTTGTTAACTCAGACATTGTCTTTTAAGATTTCATCTACAAAGGCACTGAAAATCAGGAGAACGGAACTTCCAAGATCAGACCTACATTTTGATCTGTTAAATGACAGTCTGTTGCTTTAAGGGAAAATGAGAGCAAATCCCCTCATTCCACCCCTGCAAATGAAGCTAGCTATCATGCATTGTGGAAAATTCCTTTTTGATTCTTGTGGCAATCAGTGAGTCCTGAAATACAAGCTTTCATTACCATTAGCTTGTGCATAACTTGAAGACTGATGTTACTGTTCATAAAATAACCAGTCTTTATTTTCTGCAAACTGTCTTTCTGTAAACTGATATGCTTTTGTTTATATGACTGTCCTGTTTCAGGAAAGGATGGGTAGTCACATATACTTAAAGCAAACCATTTTAAAGGTGAAATTGGAAAATGGGAAGAATACTTCTTGGAGTCTGGCAATGAATACGTTTTCATAGGCACTATCATTTTCAAGATTTTGCTACAGCTGGTTTTAATTCATCCTGAAAGTAAATTACGGGGTGGGGGGGGTGGGGAAGAATGAGATAAAAAGAGGGGCAAGGGGAGAGAGTGGTGTGTCTTTCTTCAATAACCTGTATTATTCTAGGGATGCTGAACCATTTTGCATAGTATAGGCTATAAGAGAGATTGCTGTCTATAAAGCTTCTGAGCAGTCCTTAAAAGAACAAATTCAGTCCAGTATGTTCACCACTTGTATTGCCTGGTATTGATCAGAAACTGGAAGATTATGGGTATGAAGCCACATGTGTAAATAGTAAAAGAAGGAATGAGGGAATCTGAAGATGATTTAGGGTTGAATTGCATCTGCTTTTTTTCCTTTTTACTATTCATATTGACTCCAAGTATGTTTCCAGCCATTTTAGTATATAATGATGGGGGGGGGGAGAGAGGGATTAATTTGTTTTTCTTCAGAAAATTACGCTCAATGCAATGAAATCATGATTTATGTTTTTGTATCTAGCTGGGTTGTTATACCAAACACTATGCAAAATAAAAATATTTCCAGTGTGAGTAGGATTTTTTTACTAGTTGTTTTTTGTCTTTTGTTTTCTTTCTTTGTTTGTTTCTGTTGTTCTTTTGTTTTGTTTTGTTTTAAATTAGCACACTGTCTGTTCCTTCTTCTAGGGACATTCTTAGTTGCCAGGTTCTTTCCAGTTTTTGTACCAGGCTACCATGTCACCTTATTTGCCCTTTCTCTTTTCAGTCCTGCTACTACTATGTTGGATTTTGCTTTCTCTTCCCCTGTTTCCATGAAAATCTATCTGAAGGATGTTTGTTGGACTATGTACTGTCTTCATGCCTCTTTTTTAATTCTCCTCCATTATCAACCCCCTTCTTGTGACTGAAAACCTTTTTATTTTCCGTGATATTTTTCCTTTTATTTCACTGCTTTCTGAATCAGACCAGAAAAAAAATGAGATGCATGAGATTGACACTTCATTCCCAAAGGACTTTGCTTTTCATATTTATTTGCTTATACCTGCCAGCATGATGAGCAACACTACATATAAAGCTGCTCTTGAGATTTTGCTGTTTGACATGAAAATAGACAATGCTGGAAGCTTCACGTTACTAGCTCTTTTGGCATGGTTTCGAACAGTTCTGTTAATCCTAGGATGAAATTTGTAGATAATGGGTAGATCCCATTAATCAGATCACCAAAACTTGTAAACACCACCTGCAGCTCTTTTTTATATATACCTCACTTTCTTCACTTGGATGAAATACCAGCTGTAATGACATCGCCCATTTTTTGACTTGCATTCAGACAAGCTACTTCCATCCCTGTTTCTTATCAGCTCATACTGCATTTTGTACACAGCACCAATATATCCCATCTCACTTTTGACAAAATTACACTATCTTCTTTCCATATACTAAAGCCTAGCCTGCTTCAAAGTGTCAAATCTAAACTTCCATAGGAGTACATAATTCTCAGAAGCATTGGCTTTTGTGTATGAGAAGCATCACCATCAGGTAGAATTTTTTCAGAGATACAAAAATGATTAGCAGGATTTAATTTTTCTACCTTCTGGTGGCTAGAAATGCCATCTTAAGTTTTTTGCAATCAAACCTCCCAGTTTGTATATTGTTGTAAAATAAAAATATTAAAACAAACAAACAAACAAAAAAGTATAAGCACTACACCTATCTCCTTACTAATACCACATTTACTTAATGTCAGTTTACTTTTTAAGTGGAAATTCTTCCAAACTCAGGTCTTTTATTGTGACTACAGTCTATTCTTCAAAATGTCTATTCTTCATTTTTTTTGCACAGAGTAAAAGCTCCAGGTATAGTAAATCATTCTTGGCCTCTGCAAATATACAAGCACGTATACTGTAAACTGTTTTAAGGTTCAACTTTTTCCACCTATCGCAGCTTAGAT